CGGTCAGATGTCATCTACAATTTCATCATGCCAAAATGACAAATCTAAAAAAATATGTTACTATATGTATTCCCCTCACTCATATATATTGTCAAATCAAGAGGGGTAAACACATATTCACCAACTCATACATAAATGGTACACAAAACAATTGGAAGGATATGTATAGAATTTGCCCAAAAAAAATATACATGGAATTGTGGTCCATGAAGGTCTATCTATGATTTCATTTCACTGGCTATCTGGGTTATTTCTAAATTTTTTGGTTAAGAAAAAAAATATACATGAAATCATAGATAGACTATGAATGTCTACCTATGATTTCATTTCACTGGCTATCTCGAGATAGTTTTTAATTTTTTGGTTGTTTCTTGGAAAAAAGTTTAAAATATTAGGTTAAATTTTGTCTTTTACTCTAAATAAAATTACTACTAAATATATAGTCTATATTTCGTTTCTATCTTGTAGCACTATATTACGTATATAAATATTAAAAATGATAAAAAATATAATATGACTATTATGAATTTAATAGTATTTAATATCGAAGATCAAAATTAAAATTAAAAGAAAAAAGTAGTTAAAACAATAAACTTTTAAAGGTTATATATAATAAACCGAGTAAAATGGAACATTATTGGACAAATAAAGTTAATTGTACAAAACATGAGATTCATATGATAATTAGTATAACAAAAATAGTTGATAATATTTACCCTATTAAAATTTTTTTTAAAGATAATAAAAAATAATAAATGGTAAAAACTATTATTGGAGTCCAATATTAAATTAAAGTGTTACATCTTAAAGCTTTAAGAAAGTTTTTCATTTATTCATATGACTAATTTGAATGTGAATTATTTAACTGTACTTTATATAAGTTGATTATTAACAATTTATTATAAATTTGTGATACTCACCGTAATTATCAAAAGGGATAATGACTTAGGAGGGTAATAACGTTTCCCGTTTGTCCATATTAGGTCCCTAACGTATTTTTTGTGTGTATTACATCATTAAAGTTGTTATAACCGTTTAGAAATAATCCTTTTTATCGGTTTCTTCCTGTTAAAAGGACTATTTCTAAACGGTTAGAATAACCTTAATGGTGTAATACGCACAAAAAATACGTAGGGACCTAAAATGGACAAACAGGAAACGTTATTACTCACCTAAGATTTTTAGTATTTATTATTTTGAATATATATTTTAAAGATTTTTAGTGTTTAATTTTATATGTGTATTTCATATAAAGTTGAAATTAAAAAGAATAAAAAGTAGAAAGGTTTGGATTGGATTTTGTAACCACATCATCATGAATACCATGAACACCGACTCAACAATCGGGCGTTCCATATGAACCGTCGGTCTAGAATCCACCCAATCCACCACATCACGGATGGACGAAAACACAGGAAGGTCCAAATGAAGCCAATGTCTAACCCGACTCCAAACCTGATCAGCAACCGAAAACTACAGCAACAAATGTTTCACACTTTCTTGAGAATTATGACACACATGACACAATAAGGAATCTATCATCACCCCCCTTTCCACCGGTTTAGCTCTTACCGGAATGCGATCCAAAAGCATCCAAACTACCAACCCCAAGACCTACACGTTTCTTATTTATAAAGTAAAAATTTACTATAGGGGTTTATAGTTTCATACGGGGATAATGACTTAGGAGGGTAATAACGTTTCGCGTTTGTCCATATTAGGTCCCTAACGTATTTTTTGTGTGTATTACGCCATTAAGGTTGTTATAACCGTTTAGAAATAATCCTTTTTACCGGTTTCTTCCTGTTAAAAAGACTATTTGTAAACGGTTATAATAACCTTAATGGTGTAATACGCACAAAAAATATGTTAGGGACCTAAAATGGACAAACATGAAACGTTATTACCCTCCTAAGTCATTATCCCTTATAAAAAAAACTCCAACCAAAAAGTTGTAAATTTACAATCTTGACTAAAAAAACCGGTCAAATATTTCTCATAATAGAAAAGGTTTTATTATTGGATACGAGACTCTAGATCAAAGGATGAATATTATGCCTATGACTTTATACAACCGGCAAAAATCGATCCAATTTATCAACCCAACTCGAATTCAACCCAAAATTAGCAGGTTGGGTTGAGATTTTCAATCCATCTAAGTTAAATGGGTCAATCTGTCTAACTCATTTAATTAAATAGGTTGGGTCGGGTAAATGTTATCGTCCCGTTTTCAACCCACCAACCCATTTAACTTTAATATATATATATATATATATATATATATATATATATATATATATAATTTAATATTTATTTAAATATTATTATTTATGTTTAAAAAAATGCAATTCTAATCCATATCTTTTTTCTTTACACTGAAAACATCAGTCACTTTTCAAAATCACTTTGAAATTACATATGTTTAATGTTATTTGAACAATTTCTTTTTATTTGTGAATATGGATTGTGCTTTTATTATATTTTGAAAGTTTATTTAAGTTTGAAACTAATTTAAGTGGTGTAATCTTTAGTTAATTTATTTACTTTTTTATTTTAAATGAGTTAACCCAGTTTAACCCACAGGGCCGGTCCTGAGGAATTAAATATCATCAAAGGCCCAGGACGAGGTCGAAAAAAAGGCCTTTATCGTTATTATAAGTTTTTATTTTTAAATAAAAATATATAATAAAAAAAATTGGGTCATATGCGGCTGTCCACTTTGGCCCCCCTCAACGCCCCATATGTTAACCCATTTATTTAATAGGTTGAGTTAAGAATTACATAAACATGTCAACCCAGTGACAAACCATTATTCTGAAAGGTTGGGTTGGGTTGAAATCTTTCAACCCAGTTAATAAATGAGTTAATAAATGGGTTGAACACGAACCCAACTCAAATCGACCCATTGTCAACCCAATTAATAAATGAGTTGAACCCGAACCCAACTCAGGACCCATTGTCAGCTCTATGACTTTCTTTCACAATAGCATAGCAGTCCCAATTGGTTTTTGGTACACGTATTTGTATCTATATAAGGTCTAAATGTTGATTTGTTATGTTTGTTTTTTTTGGTATACATTAATTTAGTTGTAATTTAGAATTTTTAATTATTTTCGTGTCATTGTATCAGTATTTTTTTCCTATTAACTATAACGATAGTCATTGGGTAACCAATCAATTCGACTTGAAGACATGAACTTTGAATATTTATGATAACATGTTTTCGTAAGGTTGTACTTGGAAATTCTTGAAAAACTTACAACCTTTCATAGCTTATTCGAACGATCACTTAAAGTCCATATTACTGTGAAACGAGTGGATGGGAGTCCACTGATGTGCTCTTGAAGGTTAATTTTCTCGAACATTTACCACAACAAGGTAACGGTCATGATTATGGTGTCTTTAGTTGGATGCGGTTATAAGCATTAAGTAGGGGTAGAACAGTGATAATGGAAATAGATAAACAAGGATATGTTAATGCCAAATGTTGGGATTATCGTGATCGGATGACTGGGATTATCTCAGACACGTCATGACCACTAATGCATATACATTTTCATTTTTTATTATACAAAATAGTCATTTAAATATTGCATATTATTTAACAACTACTTTTTTGGTTACACGTCCAGAAATTGTAACAGATACATTGTTTTTTCCCCAATCAATAAAATTTTGTCCAATTCTAATAACAACTACAATAAGTTCACCAACCTCCTTGTCGCCAACGTCCGAGAACATGTTAAGATCAGAACGATAACATTCTTCATTTTCGCAATAATATAAGTATGTATAGACGATTCTTGCATATTCTTTCCCTTTTGAGGTCATGTTGGATCGAACACCAACAATCGAACTTAAACTTCTTATGTAGAAAGAGATATGAAATTGATAAACAAATTGCTAGACGTACATAACATCTTATAGGTGCAAAATTCGCAAGGCTATATTAATTTCACTAGCATCATTAGCGGGCGTGTAGTTGTGGTTGTGGTAAATAATGGTGCTCACATCATTCACGAGGCCATATGCACATTTGTGTAGCATGAATTTATTGTAAGTAGGTAAAACAATACATCAACATATTGCATGCTAGGCGTGAGCAAAAATTAAACTGCAACCAAAAAAGGCATAAACCCAAAATCAGAACAAAAACCGATGGTGCGGGTTTCAATTTTTCAAAAACTGAACATTTTCGGTGTTGTGAAATTTTTATTTTTTCAAAAACCGGAAAAAAACGAACCGCACCGCAACTATTTATATACAATATTTAATTATTTATTTTATTAATTAGTTATATATTATATAATAAATATTAAAAGGTTAAAATAGAGCGCACATTTGAGCGGATACCAATAGTCATAATACATGATTACACGCTCATTCTCATTCTCTCCCTCACCGGGTCAATTTTGAATGGGATACCGATAGACCATAGTCATGGTGAAATTTGGCAACTTTAGGATATTGATTGTTAATTATTAATTATCTGACGTTTTTAAGAGATTAATTGTTTGTGATTTAAGCTATTGTCTTATACCTTATGTGTTTTTATTATTACTAGTAATATGTTTGAACTCTTAAAACCGCTAAAAAAGTCTCAATTTGTCCAAATGAATCATGAAAAATCCGAAATATTCAACTGACTGCACCAACCGATTTTAAAAATGGAATAACCGCATTTACGATTTGCGGTGCGGCGTTAGCCTATAACCGCACCGTGCTCACTCCTAGATATTAGTATGTTATGTCATTGGCACATAATCTTAGTAGTTTAGCAGAAGAGATGTTTAAAAGCTTTTCTGTCGAGTATATATGAAGTTAGGCCACTTATGATGGACAAATGACAATGAGATGTGCCTGTGCATAGGCACATACAAAATATTACCTTGCATAAATGTGTCAAAAGTTTACATTGGCCTCGTTCCGAATTCAATGCATGTCAAAATCAGTACAACTGGATATGTCTTTGTATTGTCCTACATAACAAATAAAAGCTCTTATAACATGCCACCAGGCACATATCCTTCATCAAACAATTGCTCATTCAATACATTCAAAACTTCCAATACGCACTCCGCTTCAAAATTACCATCCTGCCCCGAAGAAAACAAATACGTTTTGTTCTTCAACTCAATCCAACTATACCCCGTGTCCTTTTTCAGTACCTTATCTTTCATAACTTTCCTAACTTTCGCAATTTCATGCCACATATTTAACTCACCATAAATATTCGACAACATGATATGCGCCGAAACATCATCCGGATCAATACTAAGAATTTTCTCAGCAGCATATTTTCCCAATTCAAAATCTTTATTTATTCTACAACCCGATAAAAGACACCTCCACACCACCTTATCCGGTTTAATATCAAAACTATTTATAAAATCCAACGCCAACTTCGTTTGCCCTTTACGCGAAAACAAATTAACCATACACGCTAAATGATCGGTTCCAGGGGTAATATCGTAATTTCTCATACAACGGAAATGGTGTAACCCTTCTTCTAGAAGCCCGGAATGACCACAAGCAGATAAAACACCAATAAATGTCACACTATTAGGTTTTACTCCACAATTCAACATCATATCATAAATTTCTAAACTTTCTTTACCATGACCATGATGTGCGTATCCATTTATCATCGTATTCCACAAAACAATGTTTTTCGAATTAAATTTATCGAAAATTACACGCGCATTCGATAATCGTCCGCATTTCGCGTACATATCAATAAGGGCACTTCCAACCACAACATTTGAATCAAATTTGTGCTTCACGATGCATCCATGTGTCTGTTTCCCCCACTCGACAGCTGGCAGATTGCCACATATGTTTAAAATGCTTGAATAAGTGTAAAGATTGAGTTCAAATCCTTTGAACAACATGTCACGAAGAAGCTGTAAAGCTTCTTCGTGACAATTTAAATTCATATGTCCAGAAATGAGTGTGTTCCATGTGACAACATCGTGTTGAGTCATTTCTTGGAAAATCTTTAAAGATTCTTGGAGAAGGGCGTTTTTGGAATAGAAGTCGATAAGTGAATTCCCGACAAAGGTGAAGGAAATGTAACCGAGTTTTGTAATTAACGAGTGGAGTTGTGTCCCGATTTTGATTTCTTTTGTGTCAATGAAAGCTCCAAGAATAGTTGCAAATGTTCTTTCATTTGGTTTGTGATTTGAAGAATGTAATTTAAGGAAAAGATTAGTGGCTTCTTTACCTTTGCCTTGTTGGACAAAACCCTGGATGAGTGCAGTGTATGTGGTTAAATGAGGGTTGTTGACTTCATGAAAAGCTTGTAGAGCCATTTCTAGTTGACCACATTTAGCATACATGTTGACTAATCCAGTGATGACAAATTGGTCCATTCTAATTCCGCATTTTATTGTGTATGAATGGAGTTGAATGCCAAGATTCATGTTTTCTACAGCAGCAGAAGCACCAAGAACAGTTGCACATGCAAATTCATTGATCTTTACTGCTGCTTTGTGGGATTTGGAGAAAATCTTTATTCCTTCAAAGTATTCTCCACATTGACAAGCACATGAAACGAGTGAAGTCCAAGAAACCTCGTTTGGGTCCAAAATTTCATTAAAAATAGACATTGCATTCCTCAGCATCCCGCATTTACCATAGAAATTAACCAAAGAATTTTCTACAAAGCTGTTTAATTTGTTCTCGAACTTTATAATCATTGCATGAATTTCTTTACCTGTGATCAAAACACCTAAGTTAGCACAGGCAGATAAAGCACTGACGTAGGTGTAGTGATTCGGAGCAAAGCCATCAGCGACCATTGATCTAAAACAATCCAAAGCTTCATCCGAGAAACCCATATGAGAATAAGACGAAATTAAAGTCGTCCAAGAAATAAGGTTTCTTTGAGGCATTTTATCGAACACTAGGCGGGCATCATTAATACGGTTTGTTTTACAGTACATTGTGATTAAATGGTTGTACGTGTAAACATCTGGGAAGAATCCAGATTTGATAAGCATGGCGTGAACTGCTCTGCCTTTGGGAGCTGAGCTTGTGTTGGTAAAAGATCGTAGGAGATGAGTGAAATTCATGGGGAGATGGTGGTATGTTGTTGTGGAGGATGTTTTCTGATGGATGTGGCCAGTGTTGCATTGGTGCTAGTCGTCAATAAAACTCGTATGGATCCTATGGGAGTTGATATTAATCGCTGATGGCTCCCAATGAAGGCTTTACATGACATGAAAAATGTAGCTAGAGATTTGTAGATACACGACAGTGACGACAGCCGCTTTTTAAAAGTGTTGCACCTTTTCTTTTATTTTTTCTCTTTTATTCAAGATATAACTACACTATATAAAAAGAGGCCACTGGGGTGGCCAATGGCCATTCATTCATGAAGGTGATTTTTATTTTTTTATTTTTTTTTGGGTTTGGCTGGGTAATGGATACTCCATGGATCGGGTCTCTTGGATAGTCCATAGTATGTAGCTAAAGTGAGCGGGCAATTCAAATGGTGGAAGATATCGATTTCAACGGTAAATGGGATGAACACTTGCCATCGGTAGAGTTTGCTTACATTAACAATTTTCATTCGAGTATTGGAACGCCCCTGTATGAAGCTTTATATGGAAGAAAATGTAGGACACCCATGTATTGGTTAGAAACGGGCGAGAAGAAGTTTACGGGACCGGAATTGGTAAGGATTACCAATGAAAAGATCAAGATTGTCCAAGCTCACATGAAAGCGATCCAAGACCGACAAAGAAGCTATGCAGGTTTGAAGAAGAGACATTTTAAGATGAATCCCGACGATTTATTTATGTTGGAAATATCGCCTTGGTAAGGAGTGATGCGTTTTGGGAAGAAAGGGAAATTGAGTCTGCGGTATAGTGGCACGTTCAATATTTTTAAGAAATCGGATCTCGAGTTTTCAAGTTAGAATTTCCCCTAGAACTTAGTAGTATACACGACGTGTTTCATGTATGCCCCCCAGAACTTTGTAGGGTTTAGATCTTAACTTGCCTTAGAATAATTTGTTAAATGATTCTGTTGTCATATATTTTTTCTATTGTCAGGATTAGTAAAACCCATCAGTGATGTCGTCTCCCACCACCGATCAGTGATGTCGTCTCCCACCACCGACCATCTCATTCTATTACAATACTCTCCGCTTATAGTTATTCCCTCTAATGATCCAAGCATTAAATAAAAACCAAAATAGAAATTAGTGTTGCTTTGATGTTTAAGTAAGCTAAAGGACATAGTAATGTAGATCATTCATGTTGAAGATGGTGTTAGGTTAAGTTGCAAATGGTGTTCCATTTGAATGTATGTACATCAATTTTGGAGTTGTATCACCATTTTTGGCGAGCTTTAGGTTCTTATAATTTTTGTATGACAATTGACAACTACAATTGGCATAGATGGGTGGAGTATGGGGTTATAACAAAAATACATAGAGAGAGGTGATGATGTTTAAGATTTCCATCAAAGATTAGTGAACTCTAATGTATCAGTTATCTTTTTATGGGCAAATCCGGAAACTACAACTCCGTCGTGGCACCCATCAATGAGTTCAAGGGTGGGGTTGGAAGATGTGTTCCATTTATTTAATAACTTAAATAAATATAATAAGAAAACAAATCAAAAATAGATATAATCATGAGCATTTTTTGTCATTTCATTTGTGTTTAATGGAGTCATATGGATGGTAACCGAAGGGACCAAAGCTAATGAACTTATCAACCATAAGGATTACTGATGTGATAAATTTCAAAACTATGACCAAACCTATGTAACATACAAACCAAAAATGTAAATTAACTCTATAACATTTTAACAAGATGGGTTACTATAAGAACCGGGATTTTTGGGTTAATTATGATGTAGAATGTTATTTTCGTTGTTAAGGGTATTTTGATCTTTTTTGAAGATATTTAGATTTGTGAAATATTTTGGGATATGTTGTATGCATTTATCTTGTGTTTTTAGGCTATAAGAATGTGATATTTTGATTTATAATGGAATAGAATTGATGAATGCAGGTTTGGAATGGAATGATATTGAAAAAGGAATGGAAAAGATGATTTCAACCTCACCGCGGCGCGGTAACATGCTTGTTGCGGTGCGGTGAGCGAGGCAGTGATTTTGAGTTTTCTATATCGTAAGTCGTAGGCAACGTACTTTGGTTTCGTGGCGTGGTGTATGGGTGCCAAGAGCGATGGGCAAAGTAGGTTGTTATGAGGAATAGTCGCCACGTCGTGACATAAGGTTGATCGCGAGCTCATTTAAGTTGCCGCAACGCAATAAGTACCTCGCCACAACGCGGTTTTGATCAGTGATAAATCAAGACTAATGGCTCATTTGTTCATAATCGATCCCCATCTCCTCTAGAGCTTTCCTCCGATGGTTTTATGATTAAGAAGGTATCAAGAGGCGATTTAGCTTGCTTTGGGCCAGGTAAGAGCATATCAAACCCTTATAGTAGTTGTTTTCTCCATTCTCAACCTTTTGATGGTTTTAATGGTGAATTTCAATTTTGAGATTTTGATGCTAGATTTCTCAAAGTAAATTTGTTATTAATGCTTGATTAAGTGTCTTTGAGCTTAATCCATGGTTTATATGAAGTTTTAATGGTTGACATCCATGATTTGATCCTAGGGTTTGAAACCCTAGAAATGTAAATGATGAAGAAGGTGTTCATATGTTATGATCCAATTAGGTTAAATGTTTATTAGCTTGATTGGAGTAGTTTGGAAAGTATTTGGTCAAAAGATAATCAAGTCAGGGTTTTTGTCCAAAATGTGAATTTTTTGCTAAATCCACAAGTGATATCGTAATGGATTAAGACATGTTTGAGGGACTTAGGCCTAATTTCTTTTTTTTATTCTGTTAAGTTTTGAATTGATAAAGTACAAACAGTGTACTGAACACAAGTGATGTCGTAATAGATAAAAGATATATGAATGGATAAAGAGTTGATGATATAAACACTTATTCTTTTTTGCATTGAACGTACTATTTGAATCTGAATAAATGATTGTTTTACCCTAATGTTTAATAATAACAAAAAAACATAACTAATGAGAAAGAATAAATTATAAATAACCACATAAAATAAATTAAAAATTATTAAATCTCAAATTTTTTTTTAAAAAAATACATCAAAATATTTATATTTTCCAACAAAGAGAAAACCCAATATTTCTAGGATTTTTTAATCAGTTGGTTGTAGTTTGTACGCACATTCTCAATTGGAAATTTTGGTCAAACTATTCAACTTATATTTTAGACCAAAAACTTTTATTGAATTAATTTTGAGGTTTCTTGGCTTACAAAATACAGCAAAGAATGTATTTTTTTAAATGACAGAGTTAAATATATGTCAGAGAGTTTAAAAAGCAAAGAGATAGATATACGGAGGAAACATGATTTACTTTAGGAAAAGATAAAGGTCAATTTTGGAAAACCAATTATAAAATCGTGGTTGAAAGTTTAGAAGACATTTATCTTAACTTAACCCATTAAGAGATTTTATTAGCATTAAGTAAACAAGAAACAATCATATATAGTTGAACTCATTAAGTTTGTTATACATTAAGTTTATTTAAGTTAAAAAGAAACAACACCTTAATATGTATAAATGTCCTAGGTGGTAGAAAGGATGGATTTGGAGCTTCTCAAGAGAAGCTATGGAGAAGTTGGAAGTAGGTTGCTATTCCACAACACAAGATGAGTTATACTTCTCTTTTAGAGTATGATTATGTGATGTAGAACATGTACAAGCATGTAAATATATGGATGTAATCATCGATTACATCATTATTAGATTGTGTTATGCTGAATAATCTTGTGTTATGTTTTATGATGTGTATGTTTGTGCATGCAAATAATTAGATTTAGGGATCAAATTGTTGTTGCAATTACTGTAGCTAAGGTCAAATCAAGTTGCAGTACATTTTAAATGTTTAAAAGATTTATGTGGCAACTTATTCACAAAACGAATCTCCTCACAACCGATAAGTCTTGGGCGCTTCTTTGTCGTTTTTTTTCTAGACATGGAGAGTTGGATCCCTCGATCATTATTTTTTCATTTTTCTTTTTTTATTTATTTATTTTTTATTTTTTGTAAGGTTTAACATTTTCATATTTGATCTGATCTTTAAAAAAGGTTTATAGATTTGATCTAAAACTTTTTTTTTCTTTTTTATAGTTTAAGGATTTTTTTATAAAAAATTTGGTCTTGATGTTTATTTAATAAATTTTCTTCCACACTTTAATACAAATTTAATTTTTTATTTCTTTAAAAATCATTTTTTCAACCTTTTTATATTTTTTTTCACAGATTTATTTTTCATGAACTCGTGTTTGTCGAGTTAATTTTTTAAATAATTATTTTCTATATTCTTTAATAACAATTGCCAAGTTGTGGGTTACTATAAATAATATTACATCATAATTTTTTTTTCAAAAGTTACATCCCTATAAACCAGTCAAATTAATAATTTGCAAAGTTACAAATATCATTATAAGTTACATATAAGGTCCATATAAAGTAGTAGACCCGACAAAACACGCAGATGAATCTTCATTAGTTCGGATACAATTGCATTGAAAATTAAACAATGACACATGTCACAATATTTTAAATGAAAAATATAAGTTGGACCTATTATAAATAAATAAATAAAAACATAAACATCGCAATTATAGTTTGTCGTTTTTTAACAATGCAATAAAATGTAACGATTCAAATAAATAATCAATAACAACTTATTAGACAAGTATATAATAATCAATCAAGTTTATTAATTTTTGGGATTTAGAAAAGGCTATTCGCTCAAATAACCATCCTATTATCACAAGACCACATTTTCCTGAAGTTTAAAAAAGAAAAAACGACCTAAAGGGTAATATAATGTTTACTTTGTAAATGTATTCAAAATAAAAACTATATTATTTTTTACTTTTCCTTTTAAAAATTTACCATAAGTCTCGTTACTCACATTGAATGATATTTTCCTTTTTATTCGAGGCAAATGATGCAGTTACTTGGAAACACCCCAAATCACACGACCCGCGAACAAAACAGGATTACGCGGTTTATACCTCGCTCTTCAAGATAACTTCCATCTCTCTTAATCCCAAAGCTTCGTTGACCCGAAATCTTCCATCCTGGTTCTTGATTTCCCAGTTTTTTCATATCAGTCGGACAAAATTCAAGTAAGTATTGGGTTTCCGTTTGATCTATTCAAGAATCGAGTTTTCATGATCCTCTGTTTGATCCAGTGATCGATTTTACCGTGTTCTATCTCGTTAAGTCTTGATCCGATCTGATTTTTATTCAATTATTGCAAAGTTTATTTGATTGTGATTTGGGGTTTTTTCATGTTGTCAATTCTTCATTCGTAAATAGAAAAGATGTATAGCAATTTTAAGGAACAAGCAATTGTGTATGTAAAGCAAGCAGTTGAAGAAGACACAGCTGGTAATTATGCAAAGGCCTTTACACTTTACATGAATGCATTAGAATACTTCAAGACCCATTTGAAGTATGAAAAGAATCCAAAGCTTAAAGAAGCAATCACCCAAAAATTCACCGATTATTTGAGGAGGGCTGAGGAAATTAGGGCTGTTCTCGAGGATGGAGGAGGCAATAAACCCTCATCAAATGGAGGAGATACAGGGGTCGCTACAAGGCCTAAATCAAATAAAAAGAACGGAGATGGAGATGGTGGTGAAGATTCTGAACAGTCTAAACTTAGATCAGGGCTTAATTCTGCAATTATAAGAGAGAAACCGAATGTTAAATGGAATGATGTTGCGGGTCTTCAGAGTGCTAAACAAGCTTTGCAGGAAGCTGTGATTCTACCTGTGAAGTTCCCACAATTCTTTGTTGGTTAGTTTGTTCCCTTTTTCCCTTTTGATATTTGAATTTTCAAGTCCATAATGTTTGGTTATATTTGGTGATTACTAATAATCAAACATGTTTTGTAAACTTATGTTTAATTCTTGATTATTTTCTTTACAAAAAGGGAAGAGACGGCCATGGAGAGCTTTTTTATTATACGGACCACCAGGAACAGGAAAATCCTACTTGGCTAAAGCTGTGGCAACGGAAGCGGATTCAACTTTCTTCAGGTAAAGTGGTGACTGTGACTGTGACTCTGACTGTGACTGTGACAGTATAATGTATTGACAATCATCATATTTTCTTGTGTTTGTGTAGTATATCTTCTTCGGATTTGGTTTCAAAATGGATGGGAGAAAGTGAAAAGTTGGTTTCAAATCTATTCCAAATGGCTCGAGAAAGCGCCCCTTCAATTATTTTCATTGATGAAATAGACTCATTGGTGGGCCAACGTGGTGAAGGAAACGAAAGTGAAGCATCTCGCCGTATTAAAACCGAACTTCTTGTTCAAATGCAGGTATTTTATGTTCAAAGTTCAAACCCCTTTTGTTGCACATAACAAGTTGTACTGCCTTTGATATGCATTGGACTGGGACTTAGAGGGACAAAAATTCTTGTTTGTGTTTGTTTCAGGGTGTTGGGAATAATGATGACAAAGTTCTCGTTCTTGCAGCTACAAATACTCCGTATTCATTAGATCAGGTAACTTTTTGGAGATTTAAATTATTAATTTTTCTTTGGCAATATTAACGCAAAGTGAATTACAGGCTATTAGGCGAAGATTCGACAAGCGGATTTATATTCCTCTACCCGATGTAAAGGCAAGGCAGCACATGTTTAAGGTAACATTGAGGAGGGCATTTACGTCTTTTGTACAGACCAGATCGAGAACTAGTACTTTGTACCTTTTTTTTGAGTTGTACAAAAAATTTTAATTTTTGTATAACAAACACAACACAGTACGACTTGTTATGTCATGTCTTGTCATGTCTGTATAGGTACACCTTGGAGATACGCCTCACAACCTGACTGATCGTGACTTTGAGCAACTGGGGTATAGGACAGAAGGGTTTTCTGGTTCGGATATTGCTGTTTGTGTAAGTATTTAACTTTTTACTGTTTTTTGGTGGGCATTTTCGTAATTTTTTTGAAGGTAATCGATATGGCTGGAAAATAACTGTGTGTATGCTTCTTTTTGTGATAGGTTAATGAGGTCCTGTTTGAACCTGTACGTAAAACGCAAGATGCTATGTTTTTTATTAAAACATCTGATGACACCTGGGTGCCTTGCGGACCAAGACACCCAGGCGCCATTGAGATCACTATGCAGGATCTCGCTGCACAAGGGCAAGCAGAAAAGGTATGGAGGTTTGAAAATCAAACCAAACCAAACCAGAACAGTTTTTGTTGTTCATTGAGGGATGAACAACAAATACCGTTTTGGATGAATCTTTTTATATAAACAATCTTGTGAATTTTTTAAACTAAATTTTGGTTTTGAATATCTTCTAGATCCTTCCACCGCCGATATCGAGAACAGATTTTGACAAAGTTTTAGCAAGACAGAAACCTACCGTAAGCAAATCGGATCTAGAATTGCATGACAGATTTACGAGAGAGTTTGGAGAAGAAGGATGATGATTGATTGATTCTTTGAATGAAATGTGTATATTTGAATTATTAATGGATGATTTTCTACAAATGTGACATCAAGAATATTATGTGCAGTTGAATGTCATTTGCAATTTTTTTGGCTTATAAATCCTATGAATTTTGAAGTTGGATGGGTCCCTTCTTACTAGAGAGGGAAGGAACCTCTGTAAAAGTTCGTTTTTCCTTATTTTTGCAAGGCCATGATTCTTTTTATTGGGAATATTGGGAATATTCGATGAAACGAAAAGAAATATAATAGAGGATAAATTTGTAAAAAAAAAAAAAATCAGACTTTAAAATAGTAGATATGCTCATCATAACCGTTGTGCACAAAATCGGTATTTAAGTTGTTATTGGGTTAGTTTTATAGCTATTAAAATTCATTGAATAAAAAAAAGTTTAATCTTATTAAAAAAGACAAATGATATGAAAGTCGGTTTTATTAGATTTTCATTTTTTTTTTCAAATCTAAAATATTTTATTGAATTTTTTCTAAAGTTGACCATGTTACCGTAAGCTTCCAGTTATTCAGTTTGCCACGAACCACAATGATGTTCGATTTAGAAAAAATATATATAAATTGATATTTAATTTGAAAAAATAATAATAAAATGATGTTTCATTTGTAACAAAAAAAAGCAATAGTATCTAAGGAAAGAACTGTACTGAAATATGTTTATTTATAATTAGTCATATACTCATGCCATAAATATAATAAAAGCAGAAATATATAAAAGAAAAATGAAACGGAAGTGGTTGGACTTGTGGATGTTGTACTCATGTCATGGTTTATTTAGTTTTTAACGACAAGTATATGTATAATTATAAATAAAATTAAAATCTATCAAATAGCATAATTCTTTTACCATACATGCAGTTTTATTTTAATATATTTTTCTTATTTTTGTACCTTTAGTTTATTTTATATTTAAGATTTAAGATAAATACTTTTGTTTGTTTTATAAGGAAAATTATTTTTAGAATAAATTATATATGAATGATACTTGTGGTTTGAGGTCATCAGATTTGATCCTAATTTTTTTTATAACTCGAACAACATTATACTATGTTTTTGCATTTATTAATATTTTTTAACTAATTAAGTAATTATTAAACTATTTTTATTATTAAATAATATTAAGGTCCCATCGTACCGGATACTCTATTTCCCTTCCGAAATTACCAGCAAATAAATTACCACCATGCTACCACTGAAAAAAAGCAAAGGGATTTTCTAATATGTGCCCTAAGGGCACATATAAGAAACATTGATTGAAGTATTAATTATGAGAAATATTATCATAATTAAATGTAATAAATATTAATTATAAATACTATTATTTATAATTAATGTATTTTATATTTAATTATGGTAATATTATATATAATTAATGTTTATCACATTTAATTATGATAATATTTGTTATAATTAATAGTTCAATTAATGCTTTTTATATGTGCCCTTAGACCAGAGGGAGTGGTGCGGTCTAGGCCGCACTCCACCTGCCACATCATCACGCATACCGCCCCCTGGGTGCGGTCCAGGTGCGGTCTCGGCCGCACCGTGGCCTTCCAGGGGTGCGCTCCTTGCTCGATTGTGATTGGCTCTCCTCTTTTTGAAAACGGTCATTTTTCAAATATTTATTTATTTATTTTTTTTACCATTACTATAAATACTTTATAAACTAACCAAAAAAACTCATCAACATTTTACCATCTTCTCTCTTTTCAAACCCACAAAAAATATCATCCTCCAAAAATTCAACTAACGAAAAAATACCCACTAGAAAACCCACAACTCCAAGACATTCACTCGATCAACCGATTTATTCGCCTCCTTTCTATCACTACGGGGGTATGCTTCCCTATTTTCCACAACATATCCAACAACCACGTCCTACGCAACCATTTCAAGAAACACAGCCACAATTTGACCAAGATTTTGATCCTTTTGATTTTGGTTTTGTCACAACTAGCATTTTGGTTAGGAAATTCTAGTCTCATGTAAACATCCTCTACTGTGATACTTGTAACCCTAATTTGATAGTATAACCTATGCTCATTCAATGACAACAAACTTAATCAACATTCTTCAATAAAGCTCAAAATCTTATACAATACATCTCTTATAGTCAATTATGTGTTGAAAACCCTAAAAATTTCGGTTCAAGTTTAATATGAACTAGGATTCTCTTATTGGGCCTCATGGACCAATAAACCTTCAACTTGTGTAACATCCGGATTTTCGGGTATGTTATTTTAAATTATTTATTTTGAGGATCATTAATCTACTCGACGAGTTGGTGCTATAACTCGTCGAGTAGAAGCGGGGTAGCCACGTGAGTTTAATGAACTACTCGACGAGTCCAAGAGTAGACTCGCCGAGTAGGCGCTGTAAGTGGAAACCCTAAATCCCCGGGCCTGCATCCTATTTAAAGGACCTTATGGCCCTTATTTGCGGCTACCTTCGTCTTTGAGAGTACCAGAGCATCTGTGAGTCTTGTGAGTGAGAAAGGAGGCCATTGTTCACCATTTCCTGTGTGTTTTAGCAAGAAGGAAGGAGGAAGGACAAGCTAGGCGGGTTGGGGAGCTGGGATCTATTTCCATTTGATCAGAGGAAGCTGTTGGAGGTATCAATCTGTGCTTATTCTCGTATTTTTGATGATTTAGTTTAATCTAGGGTTTCTTTATGCATTATTTAGCTTGAATCTAGAGTGTGTGAGGTCCCAAGGTGAAATGATTCTTAGATCTGGACCTTAAGAGGTCCAGAGAGCCCCTATCACTCTGCTTTATGCCATTCCTTTGAAGTTATGAACCTAGGTGGCCATTTTAGTAGTTATTTCACCAAAAGAAGCCTTGGGTACGTTACATGTGAGTCAAGATTCGACCTTTACGTGGTTATTGGTCGTGGGGAAGTCAGATCTATAGTTTAGAGAAGCAGATCTGACCTCAGAAGGTCATTTGAGTGTTGTCATGGGAGCAACTCGCCGAGTTAATAAGTGGACTCGACGAGTCGAGTCGGGGTTGCCCCGCGATTCATCGTAGAGAAACCCGGCGAGTGAAGGAGGGACTCGACGTGCCAAGTGAGGCTTAGAAGGATTCAGAGGACCCGCGTGGACTCGCCGAGTCGCCCGGATGCACTCGACGAGTCTGGTCAAAGTTTGACCGTTGACTAGAGTTGACTTCGTTGACTTTTAGGGTTGAGTCAATGTTTGGACTTGTGAGCCATTGGAGGGGTAGAATGGTCTTTTACCCTTCTTAGAGAACTTAGAGAGGAATTAGCCTAGTCTTTGAAAATCATATTAATTAGAGTAATTATTTTATGTGATTAGGCAAAGGCCAGATCAGTATTCCGAGTTCGAGGTTTACCGAGCTATCCGAGGTGAGTCTTCTCACTATACTTTACCTTGAGTGGTAAGTAGGATTATGTGACAGAGTATCTTGTATGGTATGTATGTGATGTGTTGCACTGCATTATTTCTATGTGATTTATGTTGTGTGTATTCCAGAGTTTACAGAGTTAGGACCGGAAGGTCCACATAGTTAGGACCAGAAGGTCCACGGAGTTAGGGCCAGTGGGCCCACAGAGTTATAGCCTCAAGTGGCTAATATGTGTTATATGTGGTATTTTGGGGAACTCACTAACCATTTATGCTTACAGTGTTTTGTGTTATGTGTTTCAGGTACCAGTGAGGATCGCGGGAAGGCGCCGACATGATCAGTACACACTTGTGGAGTTTTTATGTATTGTGATCTTGGGATGAATTTTATGGATTTGATATGTGATACATGGAGATTGATAATATTTATGAATGAAATTATATTTTTAAAAGTGAAAAATTATTTTGGAATTTACGATGTTACAACTTGACTATCTTGGGCCTAGGAACCCTAATTGGGCTCTAACTGGACCCACATTCATGAAATTTTAGCATTTTGGACCATGTGAACCTATAATAATACATCTTATCTCTAATGGGCCTTGTTGGGCTATAAATGATTTCATTTACCCTAATGGGTCGTAAACTCTTTAATTGGGCTTCATTGGGCCGAGAACCTTAATAAGGGGTCCAATGGGCCGAAAAATATTACTAAGCTTCATAAAAATTGAGTGAAAACCAAGAATGGGCCCAAACTATTCCATTTCCCTCTTCCTAGCCCAATTCTCGGCCCAACACAAATAAATAAATAAATAAATAATGAAATGGAAGAAGGTTTGATTAAACCTTGACAACACATAATTATCTAGCATGTATCTAGATAATCACATGCCTCAAGGAGATTTATTATCCTTCATGCAAAACTCCTTATCTCTTCTCCCTCTCTTCTTCTACCTCTCGGCAGAAACACACCATCCCATCACCTTCCATTTTCTTTCAAACACTTTCAATACTCTCTCAAGATCTCCTCTCTACTCCTCAAAAATTTCGTGACCTTTGGAGGGTGCTTCTAAGAAGTTTGCATCAAGTCCTCATCCATAATTGGTAATCTACTCTTACTCAAGCAAGTTTAACTTCACAATTTTGTTAAAACTTGTTACTCATTTACTCCAAACCGTGGATCATACTTCACTAGGGCCATCTAAGTTCAAAAATCATCTCAAGGAGCTTGCTAGGGCCGAGAATCACATCATCTCTTTCCATCTCTTCATCAAACCAAGAACTTCAAAGCAAAGTGAGTTCATACCTCTTGTTTTCGGTTTTAAACATGTTTTGGGGGAGAATACAAGTTGCATATGTAGTAGATCTGTGTATTTATGCATGTTATGTGTGTTTTACTTGATTTAAGTTGTGATTATGTGGTGAAACACTATAGATCTCGAAAATTCTAACCAAAAGTTGTGATATTTGAAAACTAAAACACTTTATACAACTTACTATAAAGATAAATGTGTTAAACATGTGAATATTCATAAGAAACTAAACAAAACCTTGAAAATGGGCCATCTTTAACAAATAAACAAAAAGTTGAGACTTTTATGTCATTTACGGTTCTACAAGGACTAAAGAGTCATAATTGCATAAAAATGGGTCTTTATGATAGTCATAGTTACCAAAGGGCCAAAAGTGTAAATTTTTGCATAATGGGCCTTGATTTGGGCCCTTACGATTTTACTTGGGCCTAAATTGTAAAATCTCGATTTTTATGGATTAAATTTGTCATATAACACAAATTTGAGCCAAATATGTCAATCTACGGTTTTATGGGCTGAAAATGCCACTTTATTTGAATTTGGGCCTAAAATGTTATTTTTATAAAACTTGGGCCGAAAATGTCATTTCTGTCAAAAATGGGCTGAAATTGTAAATCTTTGTAAAAATGGGCCGAACATAATATTTTATACATATTTGGGCCAAAAATGTCAAGTTATATATAATTGGGCCAAAGATGTCAATTTCATGATATTGGGCCAAAAATGTCATTTTTAACAAGGAAGGCTAAAAATGTCAATTTATTCGAAATAAACCCATAAATGTAAACTTTTGGTCTTAAGGGACCTAAAGCGTCAATTTTGCCGAAATGTGCCTAAATCGTAAATTTTAGATCTAATGGGCCAAAAATAACATTATTACAAAAATTAGGCCTTTATGTTATTTTGGTAAACTAATGAACTAAGACATACAACAAAAACACAAACAAACTAAAAACATCGATTACACGTCTATTGGGCCTAATATTTCCATTACATGTTTATTGGGCCTTATGGTCCATTTACATGTTTATTGGGCCTAATATATTCATTACATGTTTATTGGGCCTTTGTGGTCCATATACATGCTTATTGGGCCTAGACTATACATCACATGCTTAGTAGGCCTTAGTTGACCTTTTGCATGTTTGTTGGGCCTTATACATCCACATACATACTCGTTAGGTTTTTCGAACATGAGACATACAAGTAAACATTATATAACATAATACAATATCCGCGTAAACTCAGTCAATGATGCTAGTGAGACATGTCAGTTGACACCTCTATAGTGTACGATCGTAGCCTGTAGTTATAACCAGAGTCTCCTGGAGGGAGAGCAAGAGTTTGTGTATAGATCTATACGGGGTGACTCCCCACACCTGAGTTGTTCGCTACAGCTAGACTAGGCCGATCTAGGGTGACAAACCTTACCGTAAATCAAACCGGTGCCTAAGAACGCCACGACAGGCGAATTCGTCAAAAATCAAGTATGGTTAAAACGACTCACTTAGAGATCTTCTCCAACATAATTTTATGGAACATCTGTAAAATCTTGTTGAAACAATAACATACATACACTGATATTCGGTCTTAAGGTTTAGACCACAACACTTTTATAAACAGAAAATATAGGATTTTTCTGGGGAAATACACAGTTAAACAATGCCTTTTACTTACTACAGAAATACAGTATTTCATTCGGATTACATTTTATATACCTTTCAAAAACGGAAAACACACATGCATTAATACTTGATTTCGACACATTACTATCATGCTATTGTATAGGAAATATCGGATTTTCTTGTGTTTTACAAATAAATCAAAACTTTTCATTCAAGTATGCTTATGAACTCACCAACATTATATATGTTGACGTTTTTAACATAACTTGTATTCCCAGGGAATCGTTAAGCTGAAAGGTCAGCATGAAATGTGGAATTTGTTATATTTTGTCATCGTCATACATTAAACATTATGGCATGTAATTTATGATATTATACTTGATGTAAACAATGCTGGTTGTATTTTGATATGTATGATGATGGTGTTGTCTTGTTTTAATTATATACAATTGTGATGATATTACAAGATGAAGTCACGCACAAGCCCCCAGACGTTTCTGCCGTCTGGTTCGGAGGTGTGACAGGTTCCCAACCAGAGTTTATTCCAGAAACACAATCACAACCACAAACACTCATTTCTGAATCTGAACCATAATTTGTTCCACAAACTCAATCCTCTCAACCAGGAAATAAAAGAAAAGAGAAGGCGGAAGCTAAAGCGTGGTCACCTCAAGAAGATTAGTATTAGTACAATCATGGATTGACGTTTCAGAGGACGCGAAGACGGGAGGGAACAAAAAATATGATCGTTTTTGGATGCGCGTTAGAGCTCGGTTCCATAAAGGAATGAACTTGGAACCATATCGTACTAAACATCAGGTGTACTCAAAATGGGGAAAGATGAACAAAGACGTGATGTTGTTTAACGATTTATATAACAACATGAAACGACGATGGAAAAGCGGCGAAAGTGACGAAGTGGTTTTGGAGAAAGCTTTTAACATTTATCAAAAAGAGCAAAAGAAGACTTTCAAAATTTTTGAAGTTTGGAATCTACTCAAAAGCAACAAAAAATGGCAAAACCTGAAAACAAGCGACGAGCACATCGATAGCGGATCAAAACGGTCAAGAACTTCCGACTCGGAACACACTTCATTGGATACTCATGTTGGTTTCGACCTCAACGAAGATGAGCCCGTTCAAGTTTCACCACCCCCGACCAATGGGAAGGGACAAAACAAAAAACAAAGGTAAGGGCAAAACGCCGGAATCGGATGACTTGATAGAAATGGGCGATAATGTGCAATGCATAAAAGATAGAATGGATAAATTTTTGCAACTTGGTTCAAATAGAGAGAGTCGGAAACAAAGGGACAGCGACCTGAGAGTGTGAGTGCTATCGATGGACACGTCGAATTTGACCGGGGATGCGCTTCAAGTCGTTTTGCAAATGAAGGAAGACGTGAAAAAACGTTACCCTAATCGTGGTTAATTTGTAGTTGTTTTCCAAGTTTTTACTTATTTGATGTGGTTTTTTTTTTTTTTTTAAGTTGTATGTTTAAGCTTTCTAGTTTTTTAATTTCTAATTTCCTAGAATTTTTTTAAAGTAATGTAATGGTTTTTAATTTTAATTAATGAAATATTTTGTTTTTATTTAAAACTAAAAATTTTATTTATTTAAAAATTAAAAATAATTTAAAGGAATGTGGCACTACTCCTTTGGTGTGGTATGAAACCACACTTTTGTGGCAACAAATGAGGTGGCGGCTACATGTCAATGTGGTTTAATGAGGGAGCGCGGCACGACTCCCTCCAGCCTTAGGACACATATTAGAAAATCCCAAAAAGAAATTACCTTCATCGGAAAAACACCAATAGATGTTCAAATCAAGAAGAAAAAAAAACATAACCTATAAACCCATTAGTTAATTAATTATTAATAATTTATGTACGTTATTGAGAAGTAGTGTTTTGAAAACCGGACCGGACCGGCCAGTTGAACCGGTTCAACCGGAACCGGCAGTGATACCTGTTTTTTATCCCCAAAAAACCGCTTGTAAGCCAACCCGTAAAAAACCGGCTTCGTTCAACCGGCAATAAAACCGGTTTACTGAAAAAAATGATTTACATCTAGCCCAAAGGAGCAAGTCGGCCCAAAAGGAGCCACCCGATGATACATCGTTTGTTCCACTAAGTTGTGATACTGCTTCCTTTTATTTACTCACTTTGCCTTGTATTTCTTTCTCACCCACCGATGTGGGATTCCTCTAATGTAACTCTTCTATATTCCTTTACACTATACTACTTTCTCTATAATCTCCTTTGCAATTTACACAGCACACATTAAATATATATTATGTTTACTTAGATTAGATTTTTTTTTACACTACTTAATTTACATATATAAAACACAAACACACACTACGTATATTTAATATACATATATACAAATATAATTTATTCTTTTACACATAACACAACACACATTTTCATATATGGACTTAATAATAAATATCTGAATTTCTAATAAAAAGTTATTATTCCAAATTCTTTTGTTTATATATATATATATATATATATATATATATATCCGGTTTTTCCGGTTTATAGGACCGGTCCAACCGGTTGGACCAGTTGAACCATCGAACCGGTAGAACATCCGGTTCGATGTCCGGTCCGGTTTTCAAAACATTGTTGAGAAGGCAAATTTTTAATTAAATTTGTGATGTAAATAACTAAAATACATTTAACCTAAAAATTAGAGGACCATAATTTCATTTCCAAGTTTTTAATATTTTTACAAACATAGAAAAAACTAAAATTGACCCAATAAACCAAACAAAAAACAATAAATCAAACCAAACACCCCCCACAGGACCTTGACCATCTCCCATACCCTGTACCCCCAATATCAACCGTAAGATCAACAAGCACAACCATCCAACGGCTTAAATCTTTTCAAATCTTGTTGAGTTTTGCAGCTTTGATCACTGGATTCGCCTTTGAGATGGCTTCTTTCCCAATTGTCTTGAAATCAAAACTGCAGGCGTGGAGCTCCGGATATCGGTGGGTCCCGCAGAAAGTAGTCCCACACTTGCACATGAACCCCGTTAGCCCCACGCGCCGGTTGCATGACCCGCACCGGTTCCGCTGCTGCGGTTTCGGAATCGAAACCTCCTCAACCGCCACCGGAGACGGAGGCACAGCACCGGATTCTAGATCTGTAGCGACGGACAGAGATACTGTTGTGCCGGAGGAAGATGTTTCCGGTGGTGGTGGAGGTTGTTGTGGGACTTGCGGCGGGGTGAGGCTTTTTTCGACGGCGAGTTTGGCATTCGACATATGTTGTTCTTTCAGGCGATGATCTTTGTAGCACTTAGAACAGAGGTTGAGCGTCGTAGGGCTACCAAAAAAGCCGCAGTTATTCGCGCAGAGGACGTGATTGCTTGCTTCGTGCCATTCCTGTTCCTCAGCCATTTTCGTTCTTCTTCAAACTTTCTCGACAGATTCGTCTTCAGCCAAAAGGTGTCGTGAGCGATCGATTGAAACCCAAATCAATCGCTCAAATACACGATATTGCAAAAGCTGTGGGAAAGAAAACCAATCAAACAGATCCGCAACGATACAAAAAGATAAAAAGCAAGGGTTGGGAACTTACGAGAAGATGCAATCAGAGAAACTTTGAAAACCCAGATGGGTATGAGGGAGGAAGAGGACCACACAGAGGAGGTGGGGAGGAGAAAGGGTGGGGGAAGAAATATAGCAGCAGGGAAGAGGGAGATGAGGGCCAAGTGTTTGTGAAAATGTCTAAAATGAGAGGACAAATAAAAATGGGAATAAACGGTGGTGGTGATGTTTTGGGATTACGTGGTTATCATTTAAATTTCATACATTAAAACACTCCCTATTAAATTAAAATATTATTAAAGAAAATCCAACGTCACTCGTTTTATCAAATATATTATTGTATGTATATATATAAATAATTATAATTTTTATCAGTATATTACGTTTTCTGTTTGGAACAACGTATACGTTTCGTCAAATCCATGTTCTTTGCCCTTAATTGAAAAGCATTATTATTATTATTATTATTATTATTATTATTATTATAATATAAGAATGCCATCATTTGTCCTCTGTGTCGGCCGGTGGTCCGTAGACTACAAAATCAAACAATATAACGGCGGTCTCCTACACGTTAAGCGTCAACTAACGGCGGCCGAAGAAGGCTCTTACTTTTTCTTCTTTAAATATACTTTTTTATGATTTATTTATATAACTGGTTAGAAACATTTTAATCATTTTAAATAAATATTCCTGTGACATAATTGATTACCCATCTTTAAAAGTAGAATTTATTATTTAATATAACAAACATCATTCGAGAAACTAACGTGGCCATTATTTCTAAATTATCAAGAATACAATAACCAGATAATAAAAGCTTTTGAAAGCCATTATTTTTTCTATGAAACGTGTACAATAGTTTCCATGTGGTCTAATTACTATAAGCTCTTACAAGGTTACGACATCAGTGGTGCTTCCAAATTATCAACGTCATCCGGTGGTGATTCCAGTTTCAGCGAGCATGCAAAACACAAGGAGATCACCTGAAAAAGTTTAACAAATCCCATCAGAAAAAAAGGAAAGTTCATGGTGGTTGTAGGCGGCAGGTGGCGGTGGTGGTGGTGGTGGTTGAGTAGGCTTACCATGCATAAAGAGGCACAGATTATGCTAAAGCCTTTACAGTCAAAAGGCGCATTGGTGGACAAGAACCATGCTGCAAATTAAACACCAAAATTAAAGTTGACATTCGAATTAGAGCAAAAAATTAGTTAAAATGAGTTTTTTTAATTATTTTAATATGAAATCGATAATACAGAGATCGGAGCTCACTTGTTAATGGAGTCATTGCTAATGGCGACAACAAACTTGCAATCGATTGCACGCCAGCAATAAAAGTCTGGGCTTTTCCCTGAGATCGAATTAAATGGAGTTGGGAGTGGGACCCACAAGATGAAAGATAATAATGTAGTAAAAGCAAAATTAAACTTTTACAAAACCTGATCTCTTGATCTTGATCCTTTTGATATAACCGCATAAGTCTGTTAAAAAGAGCAATCATCATTTCATATTTAACTAGTCACCCGACATGGACATGACTAAACTGGACCGAACTAGACACTACTGAAAAAAAAAAAAAAACTTTTTGGTCCGATTTTCATTGATGAGATAACGAGGACATTTATGTCTTTTCACAAAGATCAAGTCCTGTCTCATCTTGTTCCACCTTTTATAAGTGATCCAAAATGTTGCAGCTTTTGTCCCAGTCTAGTTCTAGCTCAGAAGACATGTCAAACACAGTACAAAGTCGTCATGTTTTATCAACTTACAGATGGTTTGACTAGGATAAAGATGACTCCAAATGACGCGCTAAGGTAAGGTACCTGTAAAATAACTTGCTATTAATTATTTAATTTTATAAATAATACTAATTCTATTTTAAAAAAGTGAACATTTGCTTTTAAGTGTCATATAAGTTCATAATTCACAAAATATTAGAAATCTTGATCTCTAAAGAAATCACGTATTTCTTTACTAATTTTGGGTTATGGTCATTACCCAAGGAGCCCATGCGAAGCCATAAAGCAATGCCTGCAAATAACACAAAGTTAATAAAATAATAATTATTATTTATTGGATTTTGCAAAATTTGATCAAATTTGTGTTAGAAATAAAGTGAACGTACATAAGCTATTGATGCTAGTAAGCCTGTGCACAATATTACTCTCTCTCCAACCAACGGATTAGAAAGAGGAAGCACCACCAACTAGATACAAAAAAAAGGACAAAATGGTAACAATTTAATCAAAATTTAGTGATTTCAACATAAAACTAATAGAAACTTTCAAGAATTTTTAAATTTTATAAAAGGGTACAAGAGCAAACCTGAGAAACAATTGAACCTACACCAACCATGCTCAAGATTTCTGAAAGTTGATTTTTGTCAAAACCAAATGCTGCTTTCAAATAATACTGCCAAGATTAAATTTTTAAAAAAAATGATTATCTTTTGAAATTTATTGATTCATGTTACAAAGAAAAGAAATGTGAATTCACAGATATAGAATATAATACCAGTAACACAGTGCTGATGCCAGACATTCCCAGTTCATAGAAGAAGGAAACGACGGAAATACCGCTCAATGTCGGACTGAAATCGAAAGTGCTCAAGTGAGTGATTTTTCACCATAATGAAAAGGACAAAAAAGAAGGAAAATAAATGATAAATTTCGAAATCATACGTGTTGAATACAATATTTACAGCGTATTTCATTGTTTTATAACGTTCTTGAACAACTGTGAGTGCTTTACTCAAATAAGACGAATGTAGGTCAACCTTTGGAGTTGACTTAACCGTCTCTACCAAAAAGATTGCCATATAAACCGGACAAAAGATCAAAAGCGCTATCGAAACCTGAATAAAAACAAATCTAATCACAAAAAACTTTAACGAGTTTATGAATCAATCGTGTATTATGCTACAACAAAATCAGGGTAGTGGAGTAGTACAAGTCCTAGTCCTAGTTTATCTGTTCACTTTTGTCCTTTTTTGACTTTTAGCTTTATTTGTTTCTGCTTTGTTTTTCATACTCGGACTCTTTGTCTTGCTTTTGTCATTTTTTCACTTTCAGCTTTACTGCTAGTATCTGTTTTTTTCATACAGTGTTACGATCATACCTCAAAAATGTACTCCTCGGGAAGAAAGCGTGCGAGGAGGTTTCCTACAACATGTGATGTAGAAAATAGACCGGTAATCCAACTAAAAACAGCTACCCTCTTTCTATTATCAACAATATCTGCCTATAAAAATTGACAAATAATATTAATTCTTCGAATTTTCTTGAACATATTTAATAAGTAAAATATTCGAATAAGATGTCTTACCACATAAGCAACGGCAATGCAGAATATACTTCCTTGACTAATAATGTATGAAATTGTTCGTAGAACATAATAAGCATACACAAATGATCTTGACTCATTGATGGCAAGTAGGGCTGAAGGATAGTTAAGTAAAATGACACTTGTGAGTGCTAATTAGGGTTCAAGGCTATATAAATGGGAAATGATTAAAGAAGACTTACTAAAGGGAATTATAGTTGTAGATACTGTAATGAGGAGTAATGGTTTGCGTCCATGTTCGTCTGAAAGTTGACCAAGAATTGGAAGCATGACCATCTTGAATATTCCTACAATCTAAAAGTATAAATTTGGTAGGAAAAAAAAAAGTTAGGGTCTGATTTGATACTTTGATAGTTGTTGATTGAGTCAAAGTTTGATTGAATCAACCCAACTTTTTACCGGATCCTAAAAGGCACATCAAACAATATCAAATAGACCCTTACTTTTTAGAGAAAAATTTTGTGAAATGACCAAAAAGGAAGGGCTGTTTGAAGAAAATGACCAAGAATTATGAGTTTTCGAAAAATGACCACGACTTCCGCAGAGAGGGCCTCTGCGAAAGTCCTTTAGTTCTGAGGAACAAGAAAACTCTCTGAGGAAATTACGTGACGGGGAAAAAGACAAAAAAAATTATAAAATATTAATTCCGCAGATGGTGCATCGTTCCACAGAGATGCTCTCCGCGGATCTGTTCTTCAGAGGTACTCCTCTAAGGAATTGTTTTTCGCTAAAACATGGCCTAATAACGATTCTGGTATTTGTTTTATTATACATCATCGAAGAAATAGACTTAGAAACGTAGTTTTATAGTTTAAATTGTTATTTTGAATCAATGATATATACTAAATGTTGATACCTCGTTAGATTTAGAAGAAAACAAATAACAGAATCGTTATTTAGCCATGTTTTAGTGAATAACACTCCCTCCTTTTTTGTTATTTCACAAATTTTCTCTACTTTTTATCCAATCTTGAAGAAAAGGGTAAGTTTAGAATATCAAGATTATAATTTTTTCTGTCATTTGAAAAGGAAAATGAAAGAAAGGAACAAAATTGCAAATAGACAAAAAGAACAAGACCAAGTAGTGCCAGATTCCATGTGTCATTTACCCTTCATGGCCCACTAGATTATTATATAATTTTACTCAAATATAAAGAATGGAAATTACTTTTGAGATCAAACACAGTCACTTTCAGCTTTAGAAGTGATACAAATTCTTTATATCATCTTTATCCTAAACAAGTCATGCTTCTTTTTTTTTATTCAGAAGTCACTTACTACGCTAAGCATAATCAACATACGTTGACATTAACTCAATTAAAAGTTAAAGCACTCAGAAAAAAGAAGGATAAAATTATGAATATAATCACATATATGAACACTAGTATTATCAGTTAAAGACTAATTATTTGATAAAAACAGCAATAAAAACAGAGAAAAGAAGGCGAAAACCCCAATTGAGCATATCATACTATGATGAATTGATGATCAAAGGAGAGGGGGTGTAC